GATAGATAGATAGATAGATAGATAGATAGATAGATAGATAGATAGATCTCCATACAGTTCTTTTTTATTCATCCAATTCATTAAGAAGCAATCCAATTGTGCCCAGATTCTTCCACCCACTGCCAGCCATGAATGGACACAGGCTTCCACTTAATTTATCATCTTCATATAAATTGTATGTGCCATAACTAAATAGATCAGATAATGAAAGCAAAGGTGAAGTTTCGCTGAATAGAAGATGAACAAGCAGAGAAGTGAATCGGAGGGAGGAAAAATCTGAACCAAAAAAAAAAAGGAATTGAAAAAGGACCTTGTAGAAGGAAAAAAGAAATGTAACTCCATCCATACACATTGCCTATACAGCTTATTTTCTGTTGTGGAGGGGCTGAACGGGTCGGGAGTCCATCGTAGGGCCACACAGAGACTAAATGTACATGTAATATTTGATATAAACCAACACAGACATCATGGAGGGACCAACTATTCTGTTTTATCTTCCCTAGATGATCATAGCCAGTGTAGTTTCCATTCCACGTGGATACTGATTCCTATAAAGTCTCCACTCTAAGCAAAGACAGTGTGAAAAACAGTCAACTGATAAACCAATAATGTTCCTCCTTTGTTATTTGCATAATGTTTAAAGCCAGATGTGCATTCAAGTTTCTTTTTAGTCATCTTCAAAGAAAAGACAAATGCATAAGGCATAGCCTGTCACAATTATTAAAAATGGATTGCTGTAAATATGATGAAAACGTAAGTAAATGGAGACCCCACTACACAATGGCGGCAAACAGTACTACTGGGATCAATTTCAGAGTGATTTGAAGAACAATGCCATAGTAAATCTGGCATGGTGCTGAGAAATGGACATGGAAATGCTTCACAAACCGTAACGATTTTAGCCTTGATGTTAAGAATAGATCAAAGTGAAATCGCATACCATGTTTGACATTTCTGACTACCTCATTCTTGCGAATTCGTCGGTGATACAGACATTTCAAGGCTTAATTCAACAAGTTCAATTGAATTCAATTGAAAATTTCAAACTGAGGAAAATATCATGAGACACCAGTGCCATTTGGTGACGAGGTTTAAAATGTGTTTCTTTAGTGACAAATTCTGCTGTGGGGCTTCCTTCTTGATGGACAATCAAATAAAAAAGTTCTGACAACCTTTGGCACCTTCATTGTGAGATTTAGAATAGAATAGAATAAAAAATAAAAACTTTATTAATCTCCAAAGAAGGAAATTCAAAATACAAAATAACTTAAGGTAAGATAATTACAATGATTCTATATGAAAGAAAATAAATAAATAAGACAGTCAATCAATGGCTGCTGATAATAATAATAATAATAGAACATAATAACCACCAGAAAAGAAGAGGGAAGTAAGTAGTAAAAAGCCTTATGGTTGTTGGAAGATTTGATTTGAAGTGCTCATTCACGGTATTTGATGAAAAACTGATAAAGGAAAAGTTACCTTCATGGAAAATAACCTGTTGAGTCCACTTTATGGCAATGAAATGAAGGTGGGAAGGCCATAATTCCTGAATTCTACTTTCAGTTTGTATCAAAAGTACCTTTGAATTAAAGGCAAAGTATACATTTAAATAAAACTTTTGTAAAAATGCTATTCATAATTGATGAAAGTTGGATATATTTTTCTAAGTTTAGATCACACACACACTTTAGTCAATATTCAAATATTTTAGACTATCTTTTATTCACCAAAATGTTTCCTATTGAGCTTTGCACACTGGAGAATCTTTTTTCTGGTAATGTCCACACATACACCTTTCTTAAACACACAAACCACAACTTGATAAATACATTTTCTTTCCTTATCATACATTATGAAATGTATTTATATATATATGTATATATATATAATATATATTTCCAGCACTTACTGTATTTGAATGTCAGCTTCTCTTTGAGGCAAGAGATTTTTCTAAAAAATATTTGAATGTGGTGAATATGTTTATCTGAAAAATCTATATTAAGACTTATAAAGACTGAAAACATATGGACATTAAATCATTTTTTAGCTGATTTGATTGCATGAATAGGATTATACATGGCACTGATTGTCGGTGAGTCTTTGCTTACTGGTTTTAATATTGCACATCCTAATAACCACTTACAAAAATCCAGGTGTACCTTTGTCCAGATGTTAAAAGTTGTCTTTTGTCTGTTTTTATTAAATCTCTTAGTTTCAAGTTGAGGAACTTTTGAAAAATTTTTAATTTTAACAGAATTAAATTTTATTTTATTATGGCTTCGTATCCCTTTTCTTACAAGGGGTAACAACTCCCGCTGGCACATTATGTAGTAAAACCACGGAAGGATTTTTAAAAATTGACCATTTTATTGGAGAAAAATTAGCACATGAGGGCTAAACCACACATGTGGGTCATTTGATAAGGTTCTATCTATCTGTGTGTCATGGAGGTGAAAAAAGCTTTTTAAAGAAGACTCATTCTATCTTTTTTTTTTTTGCAACAACTTTGTTTTATAATAAAACAAGAGTATGATAAAAATGAACCATGGGCTGAAATTCACATTGCAGCCAAAATAGCACATCATGGAAGTCTCATGCTATCTTTACACCGAGGTATGGCCCTAAAGTGGAATCATCCCCCTCATTATTGTTGATGCTGTTAGGTGTATTCATACTGGTTGCATGGAAATGATTCTTAATGCTACAAGTATGGGAGTTGAATCATTCCTGACATGCATATCACCTGTCTGCTTTCCGACTCATTTGAAACTCCTAAATATTCTAAAAACTGTCCGTCTTGTACTTTCATCAGAAGCAAACATTACACGCCGCAACCTTAACCCAGTTTTTCTTTTAAAAATTTAAAACATCCTGCAGCTGCTGCTGCTTATGTTTCCGAAAACCCATTTGGGTTTGGTGTTTTGTCGAGTGACGAGCTGAGAACATTGTGTGAGCCAACGAAATCAAACAGTGGATGCTCAGGTGTTCCTCTCCTCTCTCCGTGCAGATGCTGCTTCAGACTAAACAGCCCGCAAAGAGCAGAAGAGACAAAATATTCGTTTGAACAGACTGCTGCTGCAATCGCTTTGACAGAAATATGTCTCGAAACGTGTTTTGTTTTGGTGCAACAACGGACTCGTGCCCCGTTTTATTTTATTGAACCCTTTTTTCAGGGTTGCCCGTCCTGATAGTCGGCGTAACACTGGTGATATCGGTGGACAAGTACAAGGCAGATGATCACTGTTGGCTTAATGTGAAGACTGAGACAATCTGGGCCTTTGTGGGACCCGTTATTTTTGTTTTGGCGGTATGTATTCTTATTTTTCACATTTCATTCCCCATGCAACACTAAGTATAATACAGTATATTTCAGCTAAGTCAATCATCTTGAATCAACAACTTTCTTGAGTAGATTTTCTCTTATTCAAAAGAAGTTACAATTACTATTGTACTAGTACTAGTAATTGGAAAAAAGTGTTCTTTATTTAAAAAAAGATACCATATTTAAAGATAGCAACTGTTCAAGATTCTGCGTTCTGTTCCTTCATTAATGAATATCTAAAACAATTCAGCAAATATTCATTCAAAACAAAAAAACAGCAGAAGTACTGTCCTTCCAAACAGCAATCAATCCATCAATCTATTTTCTGCACACATTCTGTCCCGTTCCAGATTGTGGGTAATATGAAACTGGACTTATTGTACGTTACAGTACAACTTGAACTGGTATTTGTCATTCACAAGGCCGACATCAAAACAAATATCCCTTTTACTCCAATCAACGGGCTAGGACAATTGGTTTAATCAAAATGTATTTGTGTACAAAAGGCCCCTAAACATCAATTTGACCCTGAAGATAATTTTGACCACACTAGTTCCAACCAATGTGAGTTGTATTCATCTATTTACCTCTTCATTTTGAAACGACAGGCATCAATGACCATTTTCTTCCTCATTTGAACACACGTCCATTTGTTTCGTTTGTCCAAAAGGCACGGTGAAAACATTATTTTTCTTTGTCTCCAAGTCGGCCTTTGTCCTTACCTGTGAACATGTAACCAGACTAATGGCAACATTAGACATTTAAGCAGATAAAACATTCCAACAGCATGAATTTCTCTGTTTTTGTGGTGACAGCACTCCTGAAAGTCAAACAAAACCTTGACAAGGAGACATAAAAATTAATGACCTAATACCAGAACTACCCAAAGCATCACTGATATCTAAAACAACATTAAAGATTACTGAACTGAACACATTCTGGTCTCTGTTTTCTCCAACACAGGTTGAGGTAATGTACATCTATGAATGCTATTTGCTGTAAATGGTTCTTTGAGACCGAGCGGGAGGGGGAAAGAGTTCCCTTTCCATTCATGTGAGCTTGAGGCCAAGTTGGTGTTGTTGTCCTCCCCCCCCTTTGCAGGTCAACGCGGTGGTTTTGTGTCGGGTCGTCATGGTGACGGTTTCCAGCGCTCACCGCCGCGCTAAGATGCTCAGTCCAAGCTCGGCGTCAAAGATGCAGACCTTTGACCTCACCTGGTGAGACGCAGTAGTGGATCTTCCTCGCTCTTTCCCTCCTCCTGAATTGTGCGCGCTCTCTCTCTTTCGTTATTTGTTTGTTTTTTTCTCTCTCGTACGCCCACACTCGTACACCCTTCCTCTCTCAAGGAACCCATAGTCAATGGAGACAGTAGCAGAACTCGGGAGTACACTGGGGGAGTTTGCAAGGGCTTATCAACTTCACACCTGGTCCCAGCACAACTGTGTGCATCTGTACATGTATATGCGTTTTTCACAAAATGCATTTGTGCATCTTTTGTTAAATTCAAGCATGAGAAAAGTGTTTTTTAAAGATAAATAACCGGAGGACTATTTATGCAACTATTAAAATGGATTAACAATAAGTTAGTTGCACCATTAAGTCCAACAGGAGCAACACAAAGAAGCGAATGTGTGCAAAAATAAATATTCTGCAATCTATAAAAACAGTTTCTATCACATGTAGAACAAATTAAAAGTAGTATTTATAGTAGTGTACTAGTATTGATAATCATGTGCATCTGTACATGTATATGTGCTTTTCATAAAATGCACTTGTGCATCTTTTGTTAAATTCAAGCATGGGAAAAGTCTTTTTAAAAGATAAAAAACCGGAGGACTATTTATGCAACTATTAAAATGAATTAACAATAAGTGAGTTGCACCATTACGTACAACAGGAGCAACGCAAAGAAGCAAAGGTGTGCAAAAATAAAGATTCTGCAATCTGTAAAAACAGTTTCTATCACTTGTAGAACAAATTAAAAGTAGTATTTATAGTAGTGTACTAGTATTGATAATCATGTGCATCTGTACATGCATATGTGATTTTCATAAAATGCATTTGTGCATCTTTTGTTAAATTCAAGCATGGGAAAAGTCTTTTTAAAAGATAAATAACCGGAGGACTATTTATGCAACTATTAAAATGAATTAACAATAAGTTAGTTGCACCATTAAGTACAACAGGAGCAACACAAAGAAGCGAATGTGTGCAAAAATAAATATTCTGCAATCTGTAAAAACAGTTTCCATCACTTGCAGAACAAATTAAAAGTAGTATTTATAGTAGTGTACTAGTATTGATAATCATGTGCATCTGTACATGTATATGCGTTTTTCATAAAATGTATTTGTGCATCTTTTGTTAAATTCAAGCATGGGAAAAGTATTTTTAA